CATAAACCCAAATATAAAGTGGATATATACATATTAATTAACCCCTTTTAACCTTCAAAAGCCTTGTGAGCTCAATGCCCTAAGTAAGCCCGATTCCAGGCACCAAAAAACTCACCGAAGCCGTTGAATGCCTGAGCTGAGAAAATGAAAGCCCTTTCTATGCAGGACGGTCCTGCTGGTGTACCTGGCTACGAGCAGAGGCTTGACGTGGCTGGTGGAGCAACCCCGAACCTCTGTGTTGGAGCTCTATCCAACATTCAGGGCCATGTTGTTTAGCCTCTATAGGGTCGCAGGACCACGAGCAGATACCCGACTGCAACAGAGCCTATATACATACCATGTGACGGCATGTGCTCACTATAGGCCCACTTCGTGTTCTCATCTTGTGTCTAGCCGAGGCTACCCGTGTCTGTTGGTGGATGAGCCATTACGGGAGCCCCACACCGAAACGACAATACATGTGGGCCAACTCTGCCTCCATCGCCAACATCGACAAAGGCAAGCTCCAGGTCGTGGCCTTGCGACGTGCCAACGGTGCTCCGAAGAAAACTGCTAGGTATTACACAAACAAGCGTGGCAAAAAGTGTTGGGAGGGTACACGATGGCTGAAGAAGACAGAGTGCATTTCATGCAATACATCATCTGTACTGTACTGTGCTCGCACATGCTGCACACATAGTCCCAACGCAACCGCTTGTGAATCTGAGGGAGTATCCATTGGCCTTCGCGCGGAAGCTGGTGTCTTTGAATGCAAGCTTGAGGAGTTCCGCTTGTGGTCAACCGATGCTACCCGATCCCTTGCCAGATGCTGTTGAAACCTTTCAGTCGATGTCCTGGGGCCAAGAGTCAGAACTTTGGCAATTTGCAAAGCTGTCTGAAGTGTTCATTTACATCAGAGGCAGCAAGCGCCTCCGTATTCCAGAGAAATGGGCACCCTTTATCCCGAAGTCCTTTCCTGGTCTTTCCTAGGTGCCGCTTGCTGGCCTTTCTAAAAGGTTTACAGGGTTTATTGGGGTTGATTATAGGCTTTCTTAGGGTTTCTTAGGGTTTATATAGGGTTCATTAGGGTTTAAGGTTTATGTAGGGTTTGTGTTTTTTATATAGGGTTTAGGCCGCAAGATGCAGCAAATATAACAGAAGCATTGGTCATGATACTTACAGGTGATTTCAATACCAAAGATAACCCGGATGAGGAGAGCGACATATGAACACATGCGTGTATATATATATATATATACACATGTGTGTGTGTATATTTATATAAATATACGTACATACATATATATATATATACACCCATACACATATACATACCAACATATATGCATACATGCACACATACGTTCATAGACATATATATATATACACACGTACATGCACACCTGAGTGCATGCATACGTGCTTATACATATATAGATCGAGATATACATATACATGGATACATATATATATATATACATACACATGTACATGTTATATATCTACATATATATATATATACTTTGTAACTCTTAAAACGACGCAGAGAATGCGTCAGGCGTTCCCAACAGAGACGGCTGAATCGAAATCGCACAATCGTAGTCAAGCGGGTCTTCGTAGTCTGCCCAACTTACAGAACTCAGTTCAAACACGGAGAAATTTATTAGCCCCGGGTGATGCTACTACTACTACTACTACTACTACTTCTAGCACTGCTGCTACTG